GGGGGGGGATTTGATCTGAAAAGTCTCATCTCCTCTAAAGATGATCTATCTCACTAGTTATACAAGGCCAAGGCACCTTCTGTAAAATAGCCTCCTGTTCTACATAGTATGTTTGTATGTGTCTTAGATCTTTCAGGGTACTGAAGCATACACATCGAGAGCAGCTGTTTCCCACACGTCTGAAAATCACCATGTGTGAAACATGAAAGTCACAAGCAGGATCACACACCAGAAACAAACAAATTGCACCATCGATTCATGTCTGGTCTGTTTTGCATAGAACCATCCATTTCCAGCTTTTGGTCGGTTAGAAACCGTTTGTAATGTCACGGTGCACATTTCTGCTTGAGTTTGCCAAGAAACCTTCATAAATATCAACTACTGAGCACTTTGCCAGCATATCAGATGAAGATGAAGGTATTCTGCACTGTTGCTAGGAGAGACGGATATAACAACAAGCATTCTTTTTTAGGCTCCATCCATGAACATTTTTAACCAAACTGATCAGGATAGACAAGCTAACTCCTCTGTCCAGGCACTAAAGATTCATGCTACTGGGTCAATAGGGGGATGTGGTAGCCAAACATTGGGTTTGGTTTTACAGTGTTTCAAAGTCTTCGAATCCAGTCACACACAAGGCATGGTCCATTTAAGACCACAGTTCTGATCACGGTACTTATTGTACAACTGTTTTGTCCTGTTTCCCAAAGCTGTTGTTTAATTATGCTTGGCCCTGTGAGACTATCAGCACCACAGTGTTCAAATATAGTTTGTGTCCAACATAATGTTATACTATACATGATCTCTACTGCATTGGACTCTGCTCACATTTACAGCTGTCGTGGCAAATACGAATCATATTTAGTCCAGGTATTAGAATGAGGATCAGTATTGACCTCCACATACTCTTTTCGGGCCTTTGTGTTTTATACTCTCATTCCTTTACTGTTAGTCTTCATACACTCTGTTTCACACTATTTCCAAAATCAGCAATAATTAGTTATCAAAATTCTTCTTTCAAGCCTCACAGACACACAAACAATAAACAAAAATATCTGCACACAAATATATGCAAAGAATATATCTGTTTAAATTGTTTTTTCTGCAGATCTGCCAGCCCATGTTTGCATTCCCAGTGTTAATAGCCTGGAAATGCTAATGCAGCATTGTGAAAGCTTAATGTCAGCTGCTTTCACAAGCCTCTGCTGTATGCATTTAAAATGCTCAATTGCATCTGTACAGCCAGTAAATGGTGAAATCACACCTCTTTGTAGCCTGTTTACATAGACCTTGCCTTTGTTTACCTACATTAGATTTCCATTTGGAAGTCCAGCTTGCCTGGTTTCACTTGAGAAGGATTCTGTACCAAGTACTAGATCAAACAAACTCATTTAATAGTGATAACTCTGCTGGAGAATAGCTAAATAGCCAAGGAACCAATTGCAGAAGTAAACAGAAAATAGACAGATAGATAGATATACTTTTCTCAAGATTTTATGAAAAACACTGCAATTTAAAAAATAGAAAATAAATATAGCACAAGATCTCCTACTAATGCAATATCTCAGTAATCTTAGCAATTTTAAAACATCAAATTAAGGAATTTAAGTTTCAGTTATTCATAAAACTACTCAGTCCTTTGGATGAACTCATGTTAATTCAAGTGCCATGTATGTCCTGATTTATAAACAAAAATATGCATAACAAAGTGAGATACTGTTGTACTGCCATTACCACCATGGCCTGGTGATTAGTACCTCGTTTTCAAGGCCTTACCTGTTATCATTCACATTCCAAAGCACTTATCTTAAATATACTTTCATCAACCCACACAGCTTAAAGCAGAATCGTTTCTAGATAACTGGGATAAGGAGCAAGAGGCTGGATCACCACGGGTAATTGACCCTGATATTTTGGATCGTTGCTAGGAGAGACAATGGCCGTGCTTTTTCGGGCCTCTGTGTTAAGAGAGAGAAAAAATTATTTGCAATACACTGCAACACTGAGGAGGCCACTGTGCAGTTTGGCAGACAGTAATAACAACAGGAAGTTGGATTATTTCTTTCCAAATATACACTATTCACAGTCATCCAGTTCCAGTAAAAACTTCTGCACAAATAGCCATAAAATCGTGTTCAAAAGCAGCCCTTGTTTAAAATGCAGAACAGAAATATTGGCAATATATGATGAATAAAATTTTGCTTTGACGCCATCTCAATCTCGCCTCTGTGTCTTCATAGTCAATGCCTAACCAGAATTTGTGTCAGTGTGTTTTACAG